GGAGCTGATTCCAATCTTAAGTAGTTTTAGAGAGAAATTTAGACATCCTGCGATAAGGCTCAAAAGCTCTTTGCACATTCTCTTATTTGTAAATAACACTTTTGCAAAAGGGAGCTTAAGGCGGAGGACTAACAAGGATACACAGCCTGTCCCCATGGCGCTTTTCGTGCATCGTGCAATTGTGGCAATTGGCTGAGACATTCGTCATTGTTTCATGTCGTTATCCAAGAAAAGTTAATGGGCAATCCTCGCATCATTACATGAAAAGGTCTTTACATCTTGCGTAGTATCATATCGCAGATGAACTTCTACTTATTTCATCGGATAAAACTATCAAATAGATATGAAACGTACCCTTCGTGAGTGGAACCGTCGCGGAGATCACGCTTGGTCCTTGGCCACTCTTCCTCTGTACTTGTTTAACATAAGATGGCTTCTTTTCCCTCGGATATCCGATGAGAGCGTATGATCCTCGGTATTCGAGAGAGCTCACATGGTAGCCACCAATTATCGTCAGAGCATCAAAAGCCTTTTGAAGAAAGCGTGAACCCTCGTCTTGGACTGCAATCAGGATTATTTTTCTGAAATAGACAAGGAAATTGTCGAAATGAAGCAAAAATTTTACCGCCGGCAAAGGTGAGTACGTCAATGCAGTGTAGTGTCAAAGATGTAAGTGTTTACGGCTGCATAGTAAATGTGGTTGAATCCAGAGTTTCACCCACTGAAACAGTAAAACTATATCTAGAAATTGAAAACATCCATTTAACGTGGATTCGAAGTAACGTTCTAGTACCTTTATTGCATCACCACTAAAAAATTAACTTTCTTTATTGAACGAGTAAACCCGGTCCATTTTCAAATTAAGTCAGTGGCGTCTCAAGGTCGATATTCTTGTTCATCTGCCTCGTTGTTTTCAAATCCTTCGCCGAACGACGGTTGCGTGTCGCTCAAATTTTTATGATCGTGCGCGCTTGCCTGTGTATGACGTTCACCTGAGGCAAATGCTTATTAGCCTTTCATGCCAACATTTGGGCCAGATCTATTAAATTTCATCTCAACACGTAATGAAAGAAGTTTTGGACCACTTATTTATATCTAAATTTTATGATGACAGATTCTCCATAAATTCAAATATTTGCCCCACTCCGAGTCTATTATGCAATTTTAAAGGAAAAGTAATGCAAGTTTGTAAAAAAAGCTGGTACTTACTCTCCAGCAATCGCGTTGAGAAAGTCTCTCAACTGGGTTCCAGCGGCACCGTTTCCATGGGTATCGAAATTCACGGAGTTTTGCACAATTCCTGCATTGAAAAATGTGTTTTCGGTATTCATCGGAATAAGAGGCAAAAAGGGAAGTGAGATAAAATGAATTCCTTCACCGGAATTTCCTTACGGGAGGAATCCAAATAGCTCCCACTTCATACGTTCGTAGTGCTTTTTTGCACTGTTGTATAATTCATGATATGTCTCAGATTTTCACTTATTTTCCATCAATCGACTTGTTGCCAAAATGAGTTCCTGTAACTACTGATTTGTTTTCCATTTCTATTCTTTTTTTTTTTTTCAAAATTAAAAGCTTGAAAATTATTTCACTCAAAAATAACAGCGATTAAGTTGTTTACCTGTTACGGCATCCACGACCACAACATTATGCCCTCTCCTTTGTTTCGAGTGTTCATTTCCATTCACCTTTATGTAAGCAATACCACATGTATCTGGCTTTTTTCCCGGATCATTACAGCCTTCGCTTCGGATGTCTATTTTTATAGAAGAAACTGACAAACAACAACAAAAAAGGAGACAGTGAAACGGTTTGAATATCTGTTTGTATCTGTAGCATGACAGGACTGAAAATGCGTGCACTGTAAGTAAACATACAAAGCCTTAGATAAGTTTCCTAAGGCTTTGTATGGGACAATGGGAGGTACTTACAGTACACGCATTTTCCGTCCTGTCAAGGATAAAAGCAAAGAACTTTCTCTAGGGGGTTAAAT